AAAATTCCACTGAAAGCAGGAAAAACTGCTTGAATGAAGCTGAAGCTAGACTCTCAGACTTCGAAGACAGGAGGGCAGCTTATGATCATGAAAGAAAAGATGGAAACAACAATTCAACAGCTCTTACAGATGATGCAAAGAGAAACAATGTAAGACTGATAAGGGTCAATGAAAGCGGGGGTCGACACAAATGACATAAGAAGACTATTTACAGAAATATAGAAAAAAGTGTTCCAAACATGGGTAAAGAATCTGATATTCAGATAATTGAGACACCTAGAACCCCAATTAGCTATAATCAAAATAAAACTTCCTCAGACATATAATAACTAGGATCTCAGAAATTCAGCACAAGAACAGAATACTAAAGACTGTCAGAGAAAAGAAACAGATCACCTAAGAAGGAAAGCCTATCAAAATCACAGCAGACTTCTCAACACAAACCTTAAGTCACGAAAAGTTTGAAGTGAAGTATTTCAAGTCCCGAAAGAAAACAATTTCCAACCCAGATTGATGTGCCCTGCAAAACTATCTTTGAAAACTGATGAGAAATAAGATACTTTCATGCCAAAGAACAACTGAAAGAAATTCATGGCCACTAAACCAACACTACTGAAAGATACTCTAGGAAGAGAGAAATATAACTACAATTCCAAGAACAACAGAAGGAAACCACTAGTCAGGGCAACAATTAAGCAGAAAAAGTAGAAAACCAACAACAGAAATATAACATGACAGAGATAAGTCAATACATATCAGATATATATATTGATATATATATATCAATGTAAATGGTCTCAACTCACCAATAAAAAGAAAGACTGGCAACGTGGATTAAGAAACAAAATCCAACAATATGCTGTGTACAAGAAACACATTTAATGCAAAACGAAATTCATAGACTAAAAGTCAAAGGATGGAAAACAATACTCCATGTGGCAGGAATCTTGGAAAAAGCAGGAGTAGCTATTCTGTTTACAGATACTATGAACCTCTAGAATGATCAAAAGAGATAACGAATCTCACTTGTTAGGGGAAAGCCTGAAGAGGAAGAGATTACAACCATATATATATATATATATATATATATATATATATATATATATATGCACTAAATACAGAAGCACTCAACTACGTAAAACAAATCTTAGTAGACATGAAAAATTAATCAGCAGTACAGTTATAACAGAGGACCTTAACACCCCATTGTCACAGAGACAGATCAACCAAACAAAAAAATCAGCAAAGAAATAATAGAACTGAATCAAACTTGTGAACAAATGGACCTTAGTAGATGTGTACCAAGTATTCTACCCAACAACATCAGAGTACATGTTCTTGTCAGCTGCACATGGGTCATTCTCTAAAATATATACCAGCCCAAAGAATATGCTTAAGTAATGAAATAATCCCATGTATATTATCTGATCATAGTACAATAAAAATGGAAATTAATGACAAAAAAACCCACAAGAAGCCCATAAACACATGGAAATTAAATAACACTCTCCTAAACAACCAATGGGTCACAAAAGAAATTAAACAATATCTACAACTGAACAAAAATGCAAATATAACTTATCAGAACCTGTGGGATACAATGAAAGCAGTCCTCAGAGGAAAGTTGTAACAGTAAACAACCACATCAGGAAAATGGAATGAACACAAGTAAACAACCTAATTCTGCACCTCAGACTTCTATAAAAAGAAGAGCAAGTCAAGTACAAAACAAAAAGGAAGGAAATTATAAAAATCAGAGCAAAAATTAATGCAATTGAAACTAAGAAAACAATACAAGAATTAATGAAGAGTTGATTCTTTGAAATAAATAAAATTGATAAACCTCTAGCCAACCTTATCAAAAAGAAAAAGAAAAAACTCAAATCCACACAGTAAGAGATTAAAAGGGTGAAATCAATATAGACACTGTAAAAAATACAAAAGATCATCAATACCTACTTCAAAAACCTTTACTCTCATAGGTTTGATAACACAGAAAAAATGGACAGATTCCTAGAAACATATGAATTAACAACGCTGGATCAAGAAGACGTAAAACTGCTAAGTAACCTAATTCAATTAATGAAATTGAAAATGTAATTAGAACTTTACCAACAAATAAAGCCAAGGTCCTGATGGATTCACTGCAGAATTCTACAAGAAATTTAGGAAAGACTTAATGCCAACAATCGTCAAACTCTTCAATGAAATTGGAAGGAAAGCAAGTCTCCCTAATTCACTCCTGGAAGCAAGTATTACCCCAATACCAAAACCACAGAAAGACCCAACCAAAGAAGAGAACTACAGGCCAATCTCCCTAATGAACACTGATGCAAAGATCCTCAATAAAATACTGGTAAACAGAATACAATAAGTCATCAGGAAAGTTATACACCACGATCAAGTGGGATTCAGTCCAGGAATGCAGGGATGGCTCAATATCTGCAGATCAATCAACTTAATACACCACAGCAACAGAGTCAAAGACAAGAATCACATGGTCATCTGTATAGATGCCGAAGCTTTCAACAAAATCCAACACTCAATTCATGATAAAACCCTATGTAAAATCAGAATATGTGACCTTTACCTCAATGTGTTAAAAGCCACATATGGTAAACCAACAGCCAACATCTCACTAAATGGACAAAAATTGAAAACTTTCAACCTAAAATCAGGAACAAGACAGGATTCCATTATTACCACTATATAGTTCTGGAAACATTAGCCAGGATAATTAGACAAGAGAGAGAAAAGAATAAGAACAGAAAAGAAAGAAGTTAAACTATCATTATTTGCAGATGATATGGTATTCTACATAGAAGACCCCCAAAACTCCATGGAAAGGCTGCTAGCTATAATTACCAAATTCAGTAATGTAGCTGGATACAAAGTCAGGACCCAAAATTCAATAGCATTCCTGTAACAAACAACAAGCTCACTGAGAGAAATAAAGGAAACCACAACCTTTTACTATAGCATCCAAAAAAATGAAATACTTAGGAATCAGTCTAACAAAGGAAGTAAAAGATCTACACAATGAAAATTATATTACTCTGAAAAAAGAAATCAAAGACGATTTCAGAAAATGAAAGATATTCCCTGTTTATGGATAGGAAGAACAAGCATTGTGAAAATGGGCATTCTCCCAAAATTGTTATACAGATTTAATGTAATTCCAATCAAAATACCATTAGCATACCTCACAGATCTAGAGAAATTGTTCCTAAAATTCATCTGGAACCAGAAGAGACCTAGACTAGTAAAGGCAATTCTGGGCAACAAAGATAAGGCAGCAGGCATCACAATCCCAACTTCAAATTATACTACAAAGCTACTATAATAAAATCAGCATGGTACTGGAATAAAACAAGAGCTGACGATCAATAAAATGGGTCAGAAGATACAGTCACAACTACAAAAACACTAAGCCACCTTATCTTCAACAAAGGGGCCAAAGATGTTCACTGGAAAAAAGATAGCATCTTTAATAAGTTGTGCTAGAAAAACTGGCTTTCCATACACTGAAAACTGAAACTAGACCCATGCCTATTACCATGCATTAAAATAAAAGTCAAAATGGATCAAAGATCTAAATATCAAAACACAAAGACTAAACCTGCTGGAAGACAAGTAGGTGGAAATCTTGATGACATAGGGGTAGGCAGGGAATTCATGGGCAAAGATCAAGTTGCACGGGAAGTACTTCCCAGAATCAACAACTGGGATCTCATCTTATTAAAACATTTTTGCATGTCAAAAGAAATCTCCAGCAGAGTGAAAAGAAACCCATGAAGTGGGAAAAAAATATCTTAGCCAACTGTCCCTGAGACAAAGGACTTTTATCTACAACATATAAAGAAATGAAAAACATGAGGCCCCCAAAATGCAAAGACTCCATCCAAAAATGGGCATCTGAGATGAATACACAGTTCCCAGATGAAGAAATACAAATGCAAATAAATATATGAAAAAATGTTCAATAATATTGGTCACTAGAGAAATGCAAATTAAAACACTAAGATTCTATCTCACCCAGAAGAATGGCTATTATCAAGAAATCAACGAATAACAAATGCTGGAGAGGCTGTGGGGAAAACGGAACTCTTCTCCACTGTCGATGGGAATGTAGGCTGGCGCAACCACTGTGGAAATCAGTGTGGGGAGTCCTCAAAAATCTAGGATAGAGATTTCATTTGACTGAGCTATCCTATATCTGGGCATTTTCCCAGAAGAACTGGAAACATACCACAGTGAAATATGTGCACCCATGTTTATAGCCGCACAATTTGTAAAAGTAAAATCTTGGACACAACCCAAGTGCCCATCAATCAAGGAATGGATACAAAAGACCCGTGGTATTTTTATACAGTGGAGTACTACACAGCTATAAAGAAAGCTTGTATCAAGGCTTTTATAGTTAGACACAACTTGAGACCATACAAGTAAAATAAAATCAAACTCACATGTGTAAAAATACTGCATTTGTTCCTGTTGTAAGAAACTGAAAAACTGAGTAAGATCCAAAATCTGTAATAAATACTGTGTAAGGATAAGAAATTGCCCAGAGGGTAAAAGTACCTGGGATAAGGTAAAGGGGAAAGAAAAAGGACATAAATTTGTGTACGTGGACATAGATAGCTAAGATGACTATATTACTAATTTTATTAGCTCTTGGAAAAGAACAGCTGATACTCATGATTAGATCAGTTTTACAGGTCTATATCTGATAATCTAAGCAACCCTTTTGAAGGTAACAATATAGAATACTACAACCATTATTAAATTCCTATCATCTTGTTTTGAAAAGCTGTACTGGTATTGTTTGGGTTTGTTACTGTTGGTTTGCTTCTTTTGCCCTTTTTCTTTCTTTTCATAAATAAATGAAACAGCTGCCCAAGCACGGCCTATGAGCAGATGCAAGCACGGCTCTGTCATGAGGGAGGGCTACTCTTCCCAGACAGCCAGGGCCCTCTCGGCCACCACGGCCTCTGACTCACAATTTACAGCAGCTTATTTCATTTTCTTCACAGTAACAGTCATCACAGTGGAAAGTCCTCCAAGATGATTTCAAGGGGTGTGTGACTCCATAAAGATCCTTGCATTCTGAAACAAAGCACAGGTCATGGCAGTGGAGTCCTCGCACACGCAATAGTGACATGCCCACGAGGACACAGAGGTCAGCCCCTGGCCTTCTGACAGACTTTATGTGAGGCATCTAAGTGCTTCTCTAGTCACCCATGGCTAAAGTCCAGTACTGTAGAGTCCCAGGTCCCGGTAACATTTACAAAAGCAAACTCAGGTCCTCCCAGATTTTATTACAGCACAGACACACAGGGAGCTACTGAGGCCCTCTGGGTGAATCACTGGTGCCTCATGGTATGGGGGCCACCTTTCTCCTGGAGTATCTCTGTATAACAAACACCTCACTCCTATGCTTGCTTTGATTTTCATTACGGTTCGCAATTCTGGGTGCACCTGTGAACATCTTGAGGTCTTAAAAAGCGTTTATTGGACAGGTGCAGCTGAGAGGAAGATCTCATGTGCATTACACAGGAGAGCCTACGGTCCATCCACAGCACCAGAGCAAGCAAACAAGAGAAACAATGCAGGACACAGACACAAGTGTATGGTGGGCCTCAGCCCAGGACACTGGAACCAGGATCTCTGGGATGGGCTCATGCAGCCATGCTTCCAGAACTCTCTCCAAGTACCTCAGGTCCCTAAATCAGCACCTACGGGTTAACAGGGCTCCCCTGGATGTGGCATGCACACCAAAGCATGAATGGACAGATGTGGCAGTCAATCAAGGAGCTGTTGCTATGTGGAGCTCTCACTCCAGAGAGTCTAATTTAAATGATGGTCAAAAATTTGACTCTTTCTGTTATCTGCTCTCTCTCTTCCCTCTGTCAATTCAAACTTCTTCACCTGCAAAAAGTTCCTTTCTACCAGGCCATGGTTCATAAGAAATGTGAAAAACTTACCAGTCCGGGAACCATCTGGAACTTTCTCCAAAGGTATGACATAGCATTCAGCATTGCATATAGTCATGAAGGTGGCCAGAACCAGGAGACTGCCAAGGAGAATTCTCTGTAATGTCTGGAAAGTCAGAAAGGAGAGTGAGTGTATTATGGACTGAGGGTCACACACAGAGCTCCCTGCAGTGCTGTGGCCAAGTGATTCTGAATGTGTAAGTTCTTTCTGCTGATGACCCATCCAGGCAAGCGGAACACATCCACTAAGAAAAGCAACAGACAAAATTAAACGTATGTTACAAATCCCAGGACCACAATGACCACGTGCTTTCTTTTCACACAGGGAGTTTGGGAAACCCTCAGGATTAGGTGGATTTGGGGCTGTTTTGCAGAATACACATAACTTAAAGGACAGAAATGCAAGAGGGGGAGAAAGGTTTTACATACAAGCAGTTCAACATGAACAGACACACAGAGGTCAAGAAAATGCATCTGGAGACTACCTAGCACTGAGTTAGCTGGAGACGTGACTGGAAGACAGCTTAGCCATCGCTTCAAACACACACCACAACACTCAGCATTTCATTTGTTTCAGATGGCTCAGGCCTTTGTGCTTTTTTCAATTTTGAACTTTTTGTAGTTCTGAGTATCAAACCCAGCACCTAAGCACTCCACCCCTGAGCTGCACCCTGCCCTGATAAAGACCTCACGGATGGCGGCCAGGACACGCAGTTATTCTAAAGTGGAACTGGCGGACAAGGCCACAAGCACATTGCCTGTGTTATCTTTCTGGTGTGAGTGACTCTGAAATGCACAATCAGGTCTCAGTGCGGCGTTCAGAGGGACCCTCTAGAATGGAAGCGGGGGTGAGGATGGCTCAGCTTGTAGTTAATGAAACAAAGGTCCCCGCAGCAGGACACTGCTGATGTAAGAGCAGAAGGAGAACCGCGGAGGAGACAGGCCCCCACGGAGTGTTTCCCAGTGACGATGGATGTGCCTTCTACGTAGTGAAACACGGTTCTTTAGAAGCCAGGACATTATCTTTGATAAGTGACTGTTCAATAAATGGTATTAGAAAAAACAGTGACTTAGGAAGAAATACATTAACTGTCTTTCAGTCCCCACCATGAAATAAAGTCCACAAGGCTTTTCTTTGTACTTGGAGCCTCCTTCTGTCACAGTCACTCAGCCATTGGTGTTTTGGGACTGTCACCAAATCTCCATTCTCCTGATGCCCTCTGTGGCCTGGGGACAGCTCTGGTGCTGGATCTACCACGTCCTGCACTGGGGCTGGAGCATCCAGAGACACAGAGCTGAGAGCCTGGGTGGCCAGTCCTTCTCCCCTGACCTCACGTCTCACCACAGCTGCCAACCCAGTGTCACTTCGAGGACACTGACACTGCTGCTAGGTCCCTTGGAGCTGAGTGGCCACAGGGAAAGGGGGCTCAGATGGGACAGAGACTATATATGGAGTCACTGAGGTCTCTGTAGGCTTTGCCGAGGCAGCTGCACCCCTGCTAAGTCATCATGGGCTTCTGCTCAGGGCAGCGTGTGCTCATGCCACACAGGGACCTTCCCAGTCCTCAGTGCCATGTGTAGAGTTTGGAGAGAGGTTGCTCAGGGTGTTATACAGGTAAAACTAAGATTATATAAGATATCATAGGATAGGTAAGGTTGTTATTTAAAGAATAAAAATTGTTTCACTTTGTAAAGGTCATTACAACTTAGATGGTAATTTTTGAAAAGATACCAGATTTGGAAAACAATATGATTATATGAAGAATTTCTATACACACAGAAAAAAACGTGTCTTTACAGAAAAAAAGGAAGGAAACTAGGGGGGCATTTCACATACAGTGACAGAACTAGAAATGACAAACAGGACAGTTCACCTAAGTAGTAACAAGAATGTCCATATGTTTATGATAATATGAAATCCCATGTGATGGCCAGAAACATCGTGTCAATTACCATGCCACAGGGAACCGGAAGTATTTAAGGGAAATAGGTGCCCAGATCATCTATGTGGGCAGTGTCCTGGAGTTTCCTGCATGTGAACTTTGTTTCACAGTTTGTAACATTTGAACCCCCATTTGTACTTCTGAGATTGGATCCCAAAGAGCAAAGCAGACACACAAAGATAGACTCCCCTACCCAGAGATGCTGGATGAAGTAGAAAAATGGGAAACCACAGTGTACCAGGACACAGGTGCCTGAGAACATCGGGACCCAGGAAGCGACCCGGGAGGATGACAGGTGAGGAAGGAGAAACCACCTGAGCCAGCGATCTCTATGTTTCACTCGGTGACACAGAGCCAGGTGCAAATCGCCCCTGGTGGTACAACTGCTGTGTAAAGACAGAGAGGTTCACACACAGACTGCAGCCGGGGGCAAGTCTGAGGAAGGCATTTGCGGGGAGATACAATGAGAACACTTTTGGTCTCTAGACCTCTCATTTTCCACAATCAAATGCATTAGATGCACAACCATAAGAAACAAATGAATCGTTTAACATTAAAACAAAACAAAACCTCACTACATTTAGCAAGAGCAGGACTTGGAGCTCCACTTCCTCCTTGTGCCATTTCCTTTTGTGTAATTCTCAGTTCAAAGCACAGTGGGACTCTCCAATCTTCCAAAATGCTCAGCTTTGCTGTCCCAATTACTGCTCCCCACTTAAAGCAAGGGATCATTTAGGCCTTTGGGGATTCGTATTCTGAGGCAGAGATGCACATTTGAGGGCTAGAAGATGAAATCCAAATTTGCTAGCAAGAGAAATAAAATTGTTTTCTTCAGATTACTCACTCGACAATAACTCAGCAATAGCCTTCCATGGTCCCTGCCTTTATCTCTCTCCTCTACATCTACCTCTCTGTCCTTTCTCTTCCCTCTGTGAAGCTGTTTCTTGCCTGAAAAAAAAAAAATCTCCTCTGTGGTTGGGCATCAAATTTCCCAGAGAGCTAATACTTAACATGCAATCTCAGGTAGCCTGGACACAGACATGGCAGGTGTCCTGTATCTTGACCTCCTCTCTCGGACCTCATCCAAAGGAAAACTGACTAAAGCAAGGCTGCGTACCCTGGGAGTCTGGAAAAGAGGAGGCTGTGAGGTTCTGCCTCAGTAGTGTGCAGGCTCAGATGCAAGGTCCTGATCATGCTGCTGCTGCTGCTGCTGCTGCAGATCTGAGTGGAAAGGCTCCAAAGTCTCTTTCCTACACTAAATTCCTTCCTGTCACCCACTTTTCTCCCATTTTATCTTCTTCCTTTATTTTGGATCCTGAGCACTGATGTGGGATAATCTGCTTGGGATAATGCAGGCAGGAGTGGCTTTGTGAGCCCTTTCCAAGTAACAAGGCCTCATGTCCAGCCTCGTGGTAAGACTGAGTAGCTCCTGACCCATGTGAATTCTGTTTCGTTAGATATATCCCTGCTCCTGGAAGACTCTTATTCTCCAAGTCCTTTCTGATAGACCCTCTCTGACTGTCACAGTCATCCTGCCCAGTGGCTGTTTCCTCCCCCTTGCCATTTGCAAACCTCAGAGCAGCACAGGAAATTCCTTGACTGGCCAGAGACAAAAATATGTCAAGAAAGATTAAATACTAAAAAGAGGTCTGCAGACCTTTTATAGATGCAGAAATGAGTTTCTTCCTTAAAAATGATGCACCAAAAAGGGCCCCAGGAATGAGTTCTAAAACTGCTGACCACTGCTCTGGTACCCGTGCAGACCAGAGAACTCCCAGAGGAGCCTGTTGTCTGCATCTTTCAAAGACACTCAGCTGACGCTACCAGACAGGTGCAGCTGGAATCCCCTAGCCTGCACTGAGGCAGGCCTACGACCTGTCTCAGCTTCCCCAGTTTTGTGATAGGAAGAGCATGGCAGTCCCTTCCCTCTTCCAGCCTCAGTTTTCCTATCTGTAAAATTATTTTTTAATTTCATCTCTGAAATCCTATTTCATTTCACAAGTCACTCATGACAGGCTCAATATTCGCAGGAAATATAAAACCATCTGCATCTCAAGACGATAAAAATAGCATTAATTTCATTATTTTTTCCAATTCAGATTTTCATTCTGTTCTACACATTGAATTGCAAGCAATATGCAAAAGATTAAAAACAATATTGTATTTACCAATAAATGCTATGCAGAAAAATGAACATTTATAGCATATAAAAAAGGAACATATACTTTTTACATTTTCAGGCCTTTGTGTATAAAATCCGATACATATGACTGTGACACAGATGCTGTATCTTTGAGCTACACCTCAACCCAATTACCTACCATTGTGGAGAGCAGAACTCCATCCAGGCAGATGCCCTCAAGAGCACAGACACTCAGCATTTATACAGCAGAAGGTCAACCACACCTTCTTGGAAAGGTAACCGGCCAAAAACTGAATGTACACAGAATGTATGCTTATTATCTGGAAACTGTGTTTGCAGACAATTTATGAGTTTTTCATATATCAGATGTACAGGTAATTATGTATTTAACCTGCTCCACAATCATGATATGTCTTTTTCCTTGAACTTAAGAGAGATGAAAAGGAAGGAATGGTTCTTTATTGGCTTTAATCCTATGCCTGGCAGAATTGCTTTTGCTATTCTAGGTCTCTTCTGGTTCCAGATGAACTTCAGTAACATATTTCTCTAGTTCTCTGAGCTATGCTAATGATATTTTGATTGGGATTGCATTAAATATTTACAACAGTTTGGGGAGTACTGCCATTTTCACTATGTTGGTTCTTCATATCCATGAGCAAAGAATATCTCTCCATTTTCTGATATCTTCTTCGATCATCTTTTTCAGAGAACTATAGTTTTCAATGTAGAGATATCTTACTTCCTTCATTAGATTGATTCCTAAGTATTTCTCTCTTTTTTTGACACTATTGTGAAGGGCTTTGTTTCCTTAATTTCCCACTCAGTAACTTTATTATTTGTGTAGTGGAATGCTATTTATTGACTTTTATATCTAGTTATTATATCTGAACCTAGTTATTATATCTAGAAGTTTTCTGGAAGGCCTAATGCCATCACTTCTCAAACTCTTTAAAAGAATTGAAAGTGAAGCAATACTCCAAAACTCATTCCTGGAAGCAAGTATTACCCTGGTATCAGAAGCAGAGAAGGATCCAATCAAAAAAGAACTACGGTACTACAGATGCAAAAATCCTCAATAAGACACTGGCAACAGAGTGCAGCAAATCATCAGGAAGATTATACACCATGACCAAGTAGGATTCATCCCAAGGATGCAGGGATGATTCTACATGTACAAATCAATAAATGGAACACTGCAAAAAAATAAATAAATAAAAAGGACAAAAATCATGTAATCTTCTCAACAGATGCGGAAAAAGCATTTAACAAAACCCAACACCTATTCACGATTTAAAAAAAAAAAATACCCTACAGAAAATTGGTATTTATCTCAGTCTGACAAAAGCCATCTGTGAGAAAGCAACTGCTAGTTTCACTCTGAATGGTCAAACACTGAAAGTTTTCACTCTAGGATCAGGAATAAGACACGGATGCACACTATCACCCCTCCTGTTCAACACAGTTCTGGACAATGGCCAGAGGAATGAGACAAGAGAAAGAAATAAAATGAATCAAAACAGGAACCGAAACAGTTAAATTAACATTACTTGCAGATGACATGACACTCTACATAAAAGATGCCCAAGACTCTAAGCAGTAGCTAGCAAAAATTGCTTTGCATTCTGTGGGCTGCCTCTTCACCTTGTCTTTGGTTTCTTCTGCTGTGCAAAAGCTTTTTAATACGATGCGATCCCAGTTGTCGATTCTTTGTACTATTTCCTGTGTGGTGGCTGTTTTGTTCATAAAGTCTCTGCTTACCCCTGCGTCCCAGGAATTTTACCTACTTGGAGGAAAAGGAGCCTGAGACTCGTCCCAAGTGGAAGCGCAGCCCAGCGGAGACGCTGCCTATGCGGGGCGAGAAAGGACGCGGAGGCGCTCTACCCCGGCAGAAGGGGTACAGGCTACTGAGCAGAGAGGGGAACTGCAACCGGGAGAAGCGCTTCCGACAGGCGCTGGCCAGATCTTACCCATTTCTCCGCAGGTCCGTGGCTCCTCGGGGCGGGCGGAAGTCCACCACCCTCATCCGCTCCGGCACACCCCTCCGTATCCGGGCAGCGTCAGGGTGCGCCACTCCGGTAGTTCCGGCAGGAACAGCAGCCCAAGCCCCGCAGGTTCCGCGGAGGAGGAAGAAAGATTGAGCCCTACAGTTCCATGAACCCCGACAGACTGAAAGCTACAGAAGATTGGAAGAGATGGTCTTTCTCTCTGTTGAATAAAATCCATCCATGACAAACCAACAGCAATATCATTCTAAGTGAAAAAAACGAAAAGCTTTCACTCTGAAGTCATGAAAAAGACAAGGATCCCACTATCACCACTCTTAAATGAAATAAATCAGATACACATCTTTATGTTATGGATTTTTTTTGGTACCAGGTATCAAACTCACAACCTCATGCTTGCCAGGCAGGCACTGTGCCTCTGAGCTATATCTCTGGCCCCTACACTTATTTAAATACTGCATCATTTCTCTGGTGTGAGAAACTGGAAGTGTAAGGAAGGATCAAAATATATAACAGATACTGGGAAATGGGAAGAAAATATTCAAATAGAATGGGTAACAAGAAAATGGGAAGGGAAAAAGAAAGAAGAGACAAGAAAAAAGCATAGAAGGAAAAAATGGAAACAAAGCTTTTGTAAGTAAAAAACGAAAGGGAGTGAAGGGAGGAGAGGGGAATAGGAAAAAAGAAACAAGACCTATGTACAGGTACAGATTCCCTATGGTGAGTGTGATCATTATGTATATCTAAAATGTACCAATAAACCAAATTAAAAATAAAAATTAAAAACAATTTTATCTACTTTATCTTCCAGTAGATTGATTCTGTTTCAATATTTATTTATTTGGTACCAGGGATCAAACTCATGACTGTGTGCTTTCCAGAAAGGCACTTATGCTGCTGAGCTAAATCCCTGGCTCTGTTTCAATATTTAGACTTCTCCATTTTTTAGTTTACAGTAGGATGAGAGATAAGAGTACAGGTTTAATCTTTGGCATGTGGAAAGTCAGTTTTTCCTCCACCATTCATTAAAGAGGCTATCTTTCTCCCAGTGAAAGAGTTTGGCCCATTTGTCACACATAACGCAGTTGAGTGTTTTTGGAGCTGTTTTTGAATCTTCTATTCTGTTGAATTGATTGTCAGGTCTATTTGCTTTTTATTTTTTTCCAGACCCATGCTGTTTTATCCCAGTACCTTTGTAATATGACTTCAAATCAGGGATTGTGATGTCCCATGCCTTGCCTTTTTGGTCGAGAATTGCTTCTGCTCTTCTAGATCTTTTTTGATTCCATGTGAATTTTAGGATTGTTTTCTCCAGTTGTGGGGTATGCTGTTTTAATTGGGGTTGCATTAGATCTGTATGACAGTTTTGGAAGCATGGTCATTTTCACTGCATTTGTTCTACCTACTCAAGAACGGAAGATGTCTTCCTATTTTCTGATATCCTCTTCAATCTCCTTTTCTAGAGTGTTGTAGTTTTCAGTCATCTTTCACTTCCAATGTTAGAATGATTTCTACGTATTTTATTTTTATGCTATTGTGAAAGGTGTGGTTTCCCTAAGTTTTCTCTCAGTGAGTTTGCTATTCATATACAGGAATGCTACTGGCTTTTGAGTAAGTATCAGTTTTATATCTTGCTATGTTGCCAAATCTGGTTATTAATTCTAGGAATCTTCTGGTGGAGTTCTGGGCGTCTTCCATGTAAAGTACCAGATCATCAGCAAATTCTTCCTTTCCTATCCATATTCTTTTTCTTTATTTCTCTTATCTTATTGATCTGGCTAATATTGCCAGAACTATATTGAATAAGAGTGGTAACACTGGGCATCCTTGTCTTATTCTTGATCTTAGAGTGAAAGCTTCCAGCTTTTGACAATTTAACACAATATTAGCCACTGTTTTCTCATGGATGGCTTTTATCAGATTGAAACAACCTTCTATTCTAATTCTTGGTATCTTCCCAAAAGAGTTACAGGCATCATACCTCAGTGATACATACACACCAATGTTTATAGAAGTCAAGGTTATAATAGCTAAGTCTTGAAAACAGCCTTGCTGCCCATCTATGGATGAATTAATAAATAAAATGTGGATTTTATGTACAATAGAGTGATACTCTGCTATAAAGAAAGACAAACGAGGCATTTTTAGGTAAATGGATGCACCCTGAGAATGTATTTTTAAGTGAAATAAATCAGGCCAGATGTTATTTTGTGTGAGAAGCCAAAAGCATAAGAACCAAAATGGAAGATAGATATTGGTAAGTAAGAAGAAAACATTCAAATGGGAAGGGTCACAAGGGAGCTGGAGAGGGAAGGGAAGGAAGTACAGCTAAAAAAACAGAAAATGTAAGGAAAAGATAGAAACAAAGCTTTTGTAAGTATGGAGGAGAGCAAAGGTTATATGGTAGGGAGTGGAATGCAGCAAAAAAAGGAATTAATCTATATTATGTACAGGCATAAATTATGCCATATTATGTACAAGTACAAATGATAAATATGATCATACACATGACAAATATATGCTAACAAAAAATAAAGTTTAAAAATATTTATACTCCAATAAATTTGAGAATCTAGAAGAAATGAATAAATTTATTATAAATATGAGCTACCAAAATTTAACCAAGGATATGTAAATTCTGGATAGACTAAATACTGGCAATGTAGTAAGGGTATTTGTAAAGACCATATCATACCAGTTCATAAAAACTGAGAACAACATGGATTAACTGCCAAGTTTTACCAGAACTTCAGTGAAGAACAAATGCCAATACTGCTCAAACTTTTCCCTGAAGGAACACGGTCAAACTCATGGCTTGAAGTTAAAATTACCCTGATACATAATTGAGGAAACGGAGTCTTAAAAACAAGGTTTGTCTAAACATTTGCTTACATTAATGTCTTTTAACAGTCATTTTATAACCCTAATCATTTCTAGTTGTTTAATCTTAAATAGAACCTACTGGTTTATAGTAATATGAAATACATAGTACTCCTATAAAAGAACTAATAAAACTAATAAAAACACGATAGGCATAATTTAATAGAGTCAGCCATGGCTTTTATCCTTAAATCCTGTTTACAATGCAAAATGACCAAATGATTCTATCGGTTGTTAAATTCTCATAAAAAGTTGCTAACATGGTTGTACCAAATATTTTTCATGCAGAGTTCAAATTCTGTTCTAGAGCATTTCTAGCCAGATTCATGGGAAAATCTTTGACTAATATTATAGAAAATCTGGATTTACTTTAATTACCCCTGAAAAATTTATATGACTAAAAGTTACATGTAATATATATTACATATTTTCCAAATTACGTATATATAGATATATTTCTGCAGTTACTTGCTTTTGTTTGTTTTAAAGTTTCATAACTTCAGATCTCAAAACTCTATAGAAGTACAATTCTCCTAATGAATTGATCTGACTTAGTGTTTTTAGATGGTAGCCAGAACTCACCAAACAGAGAACACTAAACTGAATTTGGACACTGGAAAGGTTTAGCCCAAGAGACCTTTGGTCTAAACCTTCGCTGCCCAGTGTGGCTAAAGGGACCATGACATCAACTCTCAATCATCAATCCTTTCCCTTTCAGTGATGGATCGGAGGAAACCCTCAGACACGATGGAAATCTGAAATGAGGCACAACAAAAACGTAGCGCCAGGCTGGTGGACCAGTGATGACTTCAGGGAGACTCTCAGGGAAACAAGAGGGATGTAGCTGGGCAAAAGAGTTCTCAAAATCAAGATGAGTCGCTTGTGTCAGGCCTACCAAAAAGTAAGGAGAGTCTGAAGGCCATGAGGGAAGAGTCCTTAGGCAGAACCAGCTGCTGATGACTACTGCAAATGCTCAGACAAAAGAAAAGTTGGTCTGAGCCTATCTGAGCCAGATCTAGACAGGTGTGTCATTGAAAATTCATACTGTAGGATATTAGTAGGGAAAGGCGTTTTATGGAGCATGGATCTCAAAAGACAAGCTATATGTAACTGGTATGAATATAATAATTGGGGTTATAATCTTTCCAGAACTTTCTGTCCTCAATTACTTTCCTTACACGAAAACTCCTAATTCTGGCCTGTTGCTGGTTTACTTGCTAAGCTTTGCTTCTCTTAAGATGCACCAATTTCAGTAAATCTAATGTTTTAGCAGAGAATTTAAACCGTTCCAAACCAAGAGCAGATCCTAGGACTACTCCTTTAGATCAGACAAGGAAAGATTTTTTATAGCCCCCAATGATCGGTGGGGAAAAGGTTCATTTGTTACTGTGCAGAAGCTTTACAAAAACTTTCTAAACTGACTTCTTAGGCAGAAAGATGGTGTGATATCTCAGGAGGAACTGAGACAGGCAGAGCCCACCATGGGTGGGAGGGTGCACAGAGCAGGTAAAGCCTTTACTCTGTTTCCGCTGTTCCGCTTCACTCTCCCCAGGTGACACACCGCGAAACACTGACAAAAAACAAAAAGCAAAATATTCACAAGAAATGAGAAAATTTTAAACAGGGAAAAAAAACCCTAAGTCAACCCTCTAGGTTCATTTTGTTTCATCAAATATAATAATCACTAATTTTGGAGGCCACATAAAATGTTACATTTCTGTCCGCTTTGAGGTAGACAAAATATGTGATGTTCAGGTCATGGCAGTGGCCTAGGCTCCTTTGCAAAACCTGAAAGTTGCTTTTGTTAAAGATTTTCCTCCACTTAAGAAGTTTTTATTCAGGTATAAAAAAAAATCTATAACCAGACAGAAAAGATAAAACAGACCAGACATTATAATCTGACTATAGAATACTCTCTCATTCTTGGTGGATGATTGAAATATAAGGAGAGTTGATTCCCTTTTCCTCTAATTCTCTAATTCCAAGGTTGTCCATTTGAGCCACTACTTGGCATTTTTAAAATAGGTTAACCTCTTACCTATTTAGTTTCTTCTCAGAAACATTCACATATTATGCAGAAAACATTATTGGAAACAATAAAAATTAAACTAGAAAACTCGAAAATAGAAACATTTGATAGATGACCAAAATGCATCAAAAGGGTTGG